CGTGTGCTCTTCCGATCTGGGTGTCTGGCCCCCCCGGGGGTCCCGGCCTTACCGACGGTGGTGAGGAGGGTGGTGACGAAGAGGAGGGCGGTGGCCAGGTCCCACCGGGAGGCGTTGGGGGTCCCGGTGTCGCGGTGGGGGGTGGCGGGAGGGGCGGTCCCTTCCAGCGCCTGCAGCCCCAGTGCTCCCAGTAACACCAGTCCCGCGTAGGCGACGGCCGCCAGCACCGCCCCGCGCCCCATGGCCCCGCGACCCTCACCGCCGCCTCCGGTAACGGCCCCGTGACCCTCACCCCAGCCTCTGGTCGCCCCGGTACTGGTACCGGCCCCGTGCCCCTCACCGCAGCCTCTGGTCGCCCCGGTACCGCCCCCGTGACCCTCACCGCCGCCTCCGGTACCGGTCCTGAGCCCCTCACCCCGGCCTCTGGTCGCCCCGGTACTGGTACCGGCCCCGTGCCACTCACCGCAGCCTCTGGTCACCCTGGTACCGCCCCCGTGACTCTCACCCCAGCCTCCGGTAACGGCCCCGTGCCCCTCACCGCAGCCTCCGGTACTGGGACCGGTGCCTGTGCCAGCTCTGTAGCCCTCACCGCAGCCTCCGGTGCCGGTCCCGGTCCCGTGCCCCTCTCCAAAGCCTCTGGTCCCGGTCCCGGTGTCGCCCCGCGCCCCTCACCGCAGCCTCTGGTCACCCCCGGTGCCGGTCCCGGCTCCTCGCCCCTCACCGCAGCCTCTGGTCGCCCAGATACCGGCCCCGTGACTCTCACCCCAGCATCCGGTAACGGCTCCGTGCCCCTCACCGCAGCCTCTGGTCACCCCCGGTGCCGGTCCCGGCTCCTCGCCCCTCACCGCAGCCTCCGGTGCCGGTCCCGGTCCCGTGCCCCTCTCCAAAGCCTCTGGTCCCGGTCCCGGTGTCGCCCCGCGCCCCTCACCGCAGCCTCTGGTCACCCCCGGTGCCGGTCCCGGCTCCTCGCCCCTCACCGCAGCCTCTGGTCGCCCAGATACCGGCCCCGTGACTCTCACCCCAGCATCCGGTAACGGCTCCGTGCCCCTCACCGCAGCCTCTGGTCGCCCCGATACCGGGTCCCGTGACTCTCACCCCAGTCTCTGGTCACCCCCGGTCCCGGTGCCGGCTCCTCGCCCCTCACCGCAGCCTTTGATCGCCCCGATTCCGGGTCCCGTGACTCTCACCCCAGCCTCTCGTCGTCCCCGGGGCCGCCCCGCGCCCCTCAGTGCAGCCTCCGGTGCTGGTCCCGGTCCCGGTGCCGGCTCCTCGCCCCTCCCCGCAGCCTTTGATCGCCCCGATTCCGGGTCCCGTGACTCTCCCCCCAGCCTCTCGTCGTCCCCGGGGCCGCCCCGCGCCCCTCAGTGCAGCCTCCGGTGCTGGTCCCGGTCCCGGTGCCGGCTCCTCGCCCCTCCCCGCAGCCTTTGATCGCCCCGATTCCGGGTCCCGTGACTCTCACCCCAGCCTCTCGTCGTCCCCGGTGCCGCCCCGCGCCCCTCAGTGCAGCCTCCGGTGCTGGTCCCGGTCCCGGTGCCGGCTCCTCGCCCCTCACCGCCGCCTCCGGTACCGGTCCTGAGCCCCTCACCCCAGCCTCTGGTCGCCCAGATACCGGGACTGGCCCCGCGACCCTCACTGCCGCCTCCGGTAACCGCCTCCTGCCCCTCACCGCAGCCTCTGGTCGCCCCCGTGACTCTCACCGCAGCCTCCGGTACCGGTCCCGGTGCCGGCTCCTCGCCCCTCACCGCCGCCTCCGGTACCGGTCCTGAGCCCCTCACCCCAGCCTCTGGTCGCCCCGGTGCCGCCCCGCGCCCCTCAGTGCAGCCTCCGGTACCGGTCCCGGTGCCGCCCCACGTCCCTCAGTGCAGCCTCTGGTCCCGGTCCCGGTCCCAGTGCCGGTCCGGTGACTCTCACCCCAGCCTCTGGTCACCCCCGGTGCCGGTGCCGGCTCCTCGCCCCTCACCGCAGCATCCGGTAACGGCTCCGTGTTCTTCACTGCAGCCTTTGATCACCCCCGATACCGGGTCCCGTGCCCCTCACCGCAGCCTCTGGTCGCCCCGATACCGGGTCCCGTGCCCCTCACCCCAGACTCTGGTCGCCCCGGTACCGGTGCCGGTCCTGCGCCCCTCACCGCCGCCTCCGGTAACGGCCCCGTGCCCCTCACCGCAGCCTCTGGTCGCCCCGGTACCGCCCCCGTGACTCTCACCCCAGCCTCCAGTCCCGGTCTCAGTCCCGGTACCAGCCCCGTGCCCCTCACCAAAGCCTCCGGTACCGGGACCGGTGCCTGTGCCAGCCCCGTAGCCCCTCAGTGCAGCCTCCGGTGCTGGTCCCGGTGCTGGTCCCGCGCCCCTCACCGCAGCATCCGGTAACGGCCCCTCACCGCAGCCTCTGGTCGCCCCGATACCGGGTCCCGTGACTCTCACCGCAGCCTCTGGTCACCCCCGGTCCCGGTGCCGGTCCCGTGCCCCTCACCGCAGCCTTTGATCGCCCCCGGTGCCGGTACCGTGACTCTCACCCCAGCCTCTGGTCCCGGTCCTGGTCCCGATTCCGGGTCCCGTGACTCTCACCGCAGCCTCTGGTCACCCCCGGTCCCGGTGCCGGTCCCGTGCCCCTCTCCAAAGCCTCTGGTCCCGGTCCCGGTACCGCCCCACGCTCCTCAGTGCAGCCTCTGGTCACCCCCGGTGCCGGTCCCGGCTCCTCGTCCCTCACCGCAGCCTCCGGTAACGGCTCCGTGCCCCTCACCGCAGCCTCTGGTCACCCCCGGTGCCGGTGCCGGCTCCTCGCCCCTCACCGCAGCCTCCGGTAACGGCTCCGTGCCCCTCACCGCAGCCTCTGGTCGCCCCGATACCGGGTCCCGTGACTGGTCCCGGTCCCGGTGCCGGTCCCGTGCCCCTCACCGCAGCCTCCGGTACCGGTCCTGCACCCCTCACCCCAGCCTCTGGTCATCCCCGGTGCCGGCTCCTCGCCCCTCACCGCAGCCTCCGGTAACGGCTCCGTGCCCCTCACCGCAGCCTCTGGTAGCGCCGATAACGGGTCCCGTGCCCCTCACCGCAGCCTCTGGTCATCCCCGGTGCCGGTCCCGGCTCCTCGCCCCTCACCGCAGCATCCGGTAACGGCCCCGTGCCCCTCACCGCAGCCTCTGGTCACCCCCGGTGCCGGTCCCGGTCCCGGTGCTGCCCCGCGCCCCTCACCGCAGCCTCCGGTCCCGGCCCCGCGCCCCTCACCGCAGCCTCCGGTCGCACCGGAACCCACCCCGGGGGTTGGGGCGAGGGGGCACCGGGGGACGAACCCTCCCCCCCCCCTTGGAGTAACTGGGGTGACCAGTAACGGGGGGTAACTGGGGTGTTGGGGTGCAACTGGGGTGACCAGTAATGGGGGGCAACTGGGTTGACTAGTAATGGGGGCAACTGGGGTGTTGAGAGTTATGGGGGGCAACTGGGGTGACCAGTAACGGTGAAACTGGGCTGCCCAGTAAAGGGGGGCAACTGGGGTGACCAGTAACGGTGAAACTGGGCTGCCCAGTAAAGGGGGGCAACTGGGGTGACCAGTAACGGTGAAACTGGGCTGCCCAGTAAAGGGGAGCAACTGGGGTGACCAGTAACGGGGGGTAACTGGGGTGTTTGGGGGTAACTGGGATGGCCAGTACTAGGGGGCAACTGGGGTGACCAGTTACAGGGCAACTGGGTTGTTGGGGTGAAACTGGGGTGCCTAGTAACGGGGGGCAACTGGGGTGACCGGTAATGGGGGGTAACTGGGGGGACGGGAGTTCAGGGGGGGGCTCTGGGGTTCTTAGTAATGGGGGCAACTGGGGTGTTGGGGTGAAACTGGGGAGCCCAGTAAAGGGGGGCAACTGGCATGACTAGTAATGGGGGCAACTGGGGTGTTGGGGTGAAACTGGGGAGCCCAGTAAAGGGGGGCAACTGGCATGACCAGTAATGGGAGCAACTGGGGTGTTGGGGTGAAACTGGGGTGCCCAGTAACGGGGGGCAACTGGGGTGTTGGGGTGACCAGTACTAGGGGGCAACTGGGGTGACCAGTAATGGGGGGCAACTGGGGTGTGGGGGTGAAACTGGGGTGCCCAGTAACGGGGGGCAACTGGGGTGTTGGGGTGACCAGTACTAGGGGGCAACTGGGGTGACCAGTAATGGGGGGCAACTGGGGTGTGGGGGTGAAACTGGGGTGCCCAGTAACGGGGGGCAACTGGGGTGTTGGGGTGACCAGTACTAGGGGGCAACTGGGGTGACCAGTAATGGGGGGCAACTGGGGTGTGGGGGTGAAACTGGGGTGCCCAGTAACGGGGGGCAACTGGGGTGTTGGGGTGACCAGTAATGGGGGCAACTGGGGTGGCCAATACTGGGGTGCCCAGTACCAGGGTGCAACTGGGGTGACTGGTAAGGGTGTTTAACTGGGGTGACGGGTACTGGGGTGCAACTGGGGTGTCCAGGAGACCCCCCCAGGTGACCCCCCAAGGGACAGAGGGGGGTGTCAGTGTCCCCTCCCCCCCCCAGCGCCCGCCGGGGTCACGGGACCATCAGGCGCTGCCACGGGACCAGCGTTTCCTCCCGCCCCGGGGACATCGGGGGACGATGGGGGGGGACAGGGGGAATTGGGGGGGACCAGGATGTGGTGGCATCTGCCAGGCTTCCGTGGAGCTCCGTGGGTGGCAGGGACAGGGGAAGGGTGACAACCAAGGGACACTATGGCCCTGGGGACACCATGGGGACACCATGGGGACACCAAGACCTTGGGGACACCATGGGGACACCATGGCCCTGGGGACACCATGGGGACACCATGGGGACACCATGGCCCTGGGGACACCATGGCCACCACGGCCAGCCCTATGGCCATGACACCATGGCCCTGGGGACACCATGGGGACACCATGGGGACACCATGACCTTGGGGACAGCGCTGCCAGCCCCGTGCCCATGATACCGTAGCTCTGGGGACATGCCTGGGGACACCATGGGGACCTCATGGCCCTGGGGACACCGCTGGCAGCCCTGTGACCATGATACCTTGGCCCTGGGGACATCATGACCCTGGGGACACCATGGCCACCATGGCCACTCCATGGCAAGTTCTGTGCCCATGATACCGTGGCCTTGGGACATGCCTGGGGACACCATGGCCCTGGGGACACCATGGGGACACCATGGCCCTGGGGACACCATGGCCCTGGGCACACCATGGCCACCACGGCCAGCCCTATGGCCATGACACCATGGCCCTGGGGACACCA